GGAGTCGAGAAAGAAGTCAATAATGTAGGCTACAACTTCGAAGACGTAATCCAGGATGGTAACTATCATCCTACTGCTTGAAAACCATTGCGTTACACAAACAGGGTGAACTTTTTAATGTCCCCAGGAAGCACAGGAGAAAATTCAAAGTTGACACATGGGACAACACTTTGTGTGATCCACAAATTTTTGTTTTGAGTCTGGGTGTTCTTTGATTGTTTGTGTCCGTTTCATGTATGTTCGTAAAGTCTCCCGCGGCACAGGATATATTCCTACAGCGGGAGTTGTATTAAAAAATAAAAAAAGGCTGCGGGTAGAAGCTAATTATTGTTATGTACTAGTTCTACACAGAGTCGCTGATTACTTCACTCGTTCTCTTTATTTCAGTAGTATCTCAGTAAGGTTTCACTTCATTATTTGCATTCCGTGACATTGATGAAAGACATGGAGTCGGTGAAAATTGTAATGTGTTTTGTTAAGACTATTCCAACAGCGTTTAACAGGTATAGAAGGAATAGTAAAGAAGGAGCTCAGAGGATACCTGTCATTTAAATTTGGTCGTGGACAAACCACGTACATGATTTTTTTATAGAATTAGCGATAAGAGAAGAGAGACTATAATTATAATGATGCACTTTGTACCATGATAGTTCAACCTTTCAAATCAAATCAAATCATTTTTTATTTTTTTTGCATTAATATGTTACAAAGTTCTTAAAAAATACAATCAGGAATCACACCATATTCTGTCACAAATGGTGTACAAATCTTAATTTAAAAAAGAAAAGTTTTGATACAGGCAGTGTGTAGCTAGGTTCAGTATATACAGTCTAGTCCAGTACCTATTGGTATTGGTTGTGGGCTCCGATTTCACTCGAGAGTGGTCGGTTAGATCGGCCAACCAAGCTCCTTCCAGAAGCGCAGAAGCCTCCTGGGTCGTTCACAGGCTTCTAGGAGTATTTTTTTACCAGGTATGATACTTTCAGGTTGTATGGCCACTCCTTCGCATTCAAGGATGACGTGGGCAGCCGTTTCTTCTGCTTTCAGGCATCCTCAGCAAAAAGGACTGTCCTTCGCATTAATAGTGAATAGTTGTCGCTTCAGGGTTATGTTTCCGTTTATAGTTCCTACAACTATTCAGATATCTAGTCTGCTCTAGATCAGTCTGCAGGTGAGTCGTGGTGAGTCTTCAGTCAGCACCAGTTTGGACGACCGCAGAGGGGTGAGTAATTCCACCTTTGGTTATGCGCTTCACGAGTACGCTGTCTAGCCCAGGATCGAAGCTGGTTAAAAAGCAGTGGCAGGAGCATGGTTGAGCCGGTGGTCCTCCTTGCTATCTCATCTGCGGCGTCATTCCCGTGTGAGTTACTCTACCCTTTAATCCATTGGAGGAGTACCCCATTTGTTGTGGCAAGCTGCTCCAATGCTTGATGGCATTCGAAAACAATACCAGAGATCATTGTGTTGCCCTCCAGTGCCTTTAGGACGGCCGTGCTGTCGGATAGTATTCGGATGTTATACCCCTTGACATGGCCGTTGTGGCGGCGTAAGTTATTGCCACACATTCGCATTGGAATATGGAACTGTGTTAGCCTAATGCTAGTGATATTTTCATGTTTAGATCTTTTGAGAAAACTCCGGCTCCAGTTCTGGACCGTTTGTGTATATTCGGACTTCGTATATGCCAGATTGATGTCGGTCATTTTCTTGTTTACCAGTACATAAAAAAAGAAAATCAATCTTGATTTAGCTAAGCGTCATGTTTTAATTTAAATTGATTACATGTTGTTTATAATGTTTATCTTTCTCCAAACTTTTTATGCAAAACCATACAGTATTCCACATTTCAGTTTGCAAAATCTTATTAAAAAGTGCTTAAACAAGTCTCTTGACATAAATTTATAGTAATACTTTTAACTCGTACTGTCAAAGCGAGAATAACTTTTTAAAACTTCCACAAATCGCGGGGTAATCGTGGGAACACGGATGCGGGACCGTTAAAATACCTACCTCTATTAAGTCTAGTTTAACACATCTGATAAAAATAACCCAACCCTGGAAGTGTTAGAATTTGCACAGACACAAATTTCGGGCGGCTTGTCGGCTGGGTCGAGTGTTGCCAAGCCCTCACAGAACAGCGGTGTTAGTTAGTTGCTTTTCACCGAGTGTGTGAGATTACCGGAGCCATAAACTCCTCTATTTCGGGTCTGAAAAAGCGGTATCGCACTAGGTAACGCGTCTGCTCGTATGCTCCCTAATTCCATAAAAAACTACATTATGTTAAAGTTATCTGGTCCTCATCAAAGGTACAACTAAAGTGTATCCGTAGCTTTAATTACGTTCTTCAACTTTGCCCTACATATTGCTTAAATAACAACAATGTACGGAGATCGACCGTCTCACCAAATCCCAACCTATTCAGACCTCCTCAGAGAGGGGAAACGTTCGATTTAGATGCAACAATAATCTCCTGCGTTTAACTGATATCTCACAAGCGATGCGGGTTGACATATGCGTCACTAGTCACTACAGATAAAATATAACCCTTTTTCAAACAGTAACAAGAGTATTATAAGTATACTTCGTTCGTTGTTGTTGTAACTCGTACTAGTTATTCCTGGAAAGTTTCAAACCGTCTAATTTCTAATGTTAAACAAAATAACAGTTACTTAGCCTGTGAAAGAACAAAACGTAAACTATATCTTAATAATAAACACCATTATGCTGTTTTATATTATGTATCCTATTAAAATACCTATAATAATAATAAATAAGCTTTACTAAGTATTGATATTGTTCTCGCCACTGCCATACCTTTAAATTAAATAATATTTTTTGCTGTAATAATATGACTAGGGATGGAATCACAATCACCTATGTAAATCATATAATCACACCTGTTGCCAATCACTAATTTACTAAACCACTGCGACTTATTATTATTATTCCGCTAGCGCTAGACTCGCGAAAGTTCTAAATCTAAAAAAAGGTCGTAATCTTTGATAAAAAGATTTTGATTGATTGATTTTGATTGAAAAATTTTGATTGATTTTAATGGCATTTATCTTTGTCTATGACCAAATCACAATAACAGGTGAAATAGCTTTTTGACTTAACCAATCAGTTCGTCATATGAATACGATTCAAAAGTAGCAATAATTTATATGTCTATATGACTAAGCCGTTCAAAAGTACGTTCACGTGTCCTTATTAACGTGCAAGTAGACGACCTTCTTAACAACGTGCCTCCTACGGAGCGGGGGAAGTCATTATTTTCGCAGACTGTCTCCTCGCCAACAAGGTAAAAAAGTAGTAAGTAAAAAGGTATCTTTCGTTCTTATACATAGAACAAAGAACACATAAACCCGTAGAAAACTAAGGAATCGATTTAATATGGAAGACATGCTCGCTATCACAAGTTTGGTTGGCTGGCGTCGGTAGACACAACAAACGAAATATTTCTACTGACCGAGTACTTCGTCCGTACCTGTCATTTTAATTAACTACCATTATAGAAATTTAAACAAAGCAAATACATGATTGAAGATACGAGTTATTTACAATACACACACATGTATACGTAAAATAATATACTTACCGCAATAGAATTTCTTTCCCTAGTGTGCACTAGTGATGTATCGGATATTCGTATTTAAATCCGCGGATATCCAAAGGGAAACGGTATTTATCCGTCGCGATTAAATGGATATTTTATATTTAAATTGTAGAATTATTTTGCCAAAATTAAGTAATTAAGCAAGTTTGAGTGTCAGATCAATCTATAGTAGTATATTTTTTATGTATAAAAAGTTTTATGCCTTGTCTTACGAAATAAACGTACTTTCTTTCTTTCTTGTTAAAATATGTACTAATAATATTGTAAGTTATTAATATTGTGAACAGTTAAAAGGGACCTACTATGTAACAATCTCTATAACAATATCAAACCCCAAATAAGTGTATTTAAAAAAACCATGTGTAGTGCAAGACAAAACATATAATATAAGTTTAGTGATTTACATAGTCCTGAAGTTTAACTATTTTCAAAGTCACACGTATCACATAACAGCCTTTAATAGACCACTGCTAGATATAGGCCTCTCTTTAGAAAGGAGGTTAAGGCTTACTCTACCGCGCTGGCAAGACTGGTTGGTATAGGCCCTATACTATAAGGTTTCTGTCAAGTTTTCTTACGACACCCATGGGATGAACAGGGGTGGTGACACTCCTTATTCATAATCCAAAACAAGTATAGGAAGTAAGAAAAAAACTTGAGAGTATTTGTATCTGTACTCGCAGATCTAGACTCCAAAAATCTGAGGCTCTTCCCCCGAGCCTTTTTCCTAAAGTAGGTTGGGGTCGGCTTTAAGTCCTCGATGATACAGCTGAACTTCGATCTTTACGCGGAGCGACTATCATATGACCTCCACAACCCAAGTACTCGGCGATATAGAAGTTATGTAAAAACACTGTTGTTCGATTTTTGAACACTCTAACTACCCGTAACGATTTCCACATATGTTATAATCTGCGGATATACATTTTTAACTATCAGACACATCCCTACTAGACACACGCCATTCTATAAAATTATGTATCAATACGAAACTATAAAACTACGAGTGATAAATCAGTTATTACAAGAATGCACCACCACACCACGATGGGATCTTTATTGAAGTATCCTTTGTACACTGAACACCTTTCTACTCGGAGTATTAGAACTGAATATAACCAGTTGTACCCTTTGTGTGTCTGAGGAGGCTCAACAATTGCTGACCGACTTATAAACTCAAGTTAAACGACCCAATAAAGCAGTTTGTAAGAGATCCCTCGAGAAGCTAAACGAATTTTAAAATAAGAGTTTTTATATTTTTACATTAACTTTCAAAAAAACAAAATACATTAAATTAATTTGAAGCGCCGTGAACATTTTTGAACACAAAGTGGTAATCAATAATTGATTGCTATAAAAAAATTGGCAGGCGTTTGATGCAACAATGGCTGGTGGAAGTTTGAATAATATTGTAATTAGTGTTATGCTGCCCATAATGTTGTCTAATACATGTGAGTACTGTTGTTCATTTCTTTACAGTGTGGGAGCATTGACTTCTCTCACTTGAGTGGGCGGTTGATAAAGTCATTATTTCCATTCATTGCTACTATACCCAGCACGATGTCGGGGACTTTTATCATTTCGTATATTTTTGTATTGTTTATTTTATACGTGAAAGCAATTTAAAACTGTGTTTGTAGGTTAATATAAGTGCAAAATTGAACAATAGCAGACTACCTAACAGAATAATTTTGACCAATAAAAATTCTGTCCCTATATGATTTTTTTTCTTCCAAGGCTTGTAATTCTGAACGTTTTGATGCTGAAATGTTAAATTATATATATATTATGTTGACAGGATTAATTCATGTCAAAATAAGACACGTTAAATTTAAATACGCCATAATTAATTTGCTCTTGAATTAGTACCTAACATAAAGAAGGTCAAAATAGTTACGATAATTTGTAACATAACAAACAAGCATACGTATTTTGAGTTTCTTTGTTTGACAATTCACTACAGAAAAGGACATAGGTCACTAAACCAGTTCGACACAGTGCTATCAGCCCCGGATCTAGTAGGGGACAAACCGGGGCGGTTTAAAATAAAAAAAAATGCTCAACAAATCGGCTGGCATGCAGCACACGTTGAAAAAAATTAAAAAGTGCAAATTTATTAAAGAGTTCTTATAAGAATCAATATATTATTGTCCCAATGACGAAAAATGGCAACCTTTATATATGTATTTGTGAGTTTTTTATCTCAAACGTCCAGCGTTTGAGATAAAAAACTCTCTCCAAGAGGGGGCGTTATTATTAAGTTTCTGCCACGGTTCGAAAACATCGTAAACGTGGGGAAGAGTCAGTGCTATAGACAACATTTAAGTAAGATGTACTTGATTGCCGAAGGTTTGGCTTGGAACGGATTTTCGTGGACAGTTGCGATTTCAGACTTGTCCAGTTTATCAGTATCAGTATAATAGGCGTAGTCTAAGTAGTAAACAGACAGACCGTGTATAATACTACACCGGTATTATTTTTTTGTGCGGAAATTCCCTCGAGTGTGGGGTGTGATTATATCGGATTCGAACAGACCAAAAACAGCACGCCATCTCCGTCCGTTATATCATGGACGTACCAGTTGCCGGGGAACCAGGTGTACCCTAAATAGGAAATCCCTGGAACAATATAATACTACACCTTTTCTAAATGGATGAGATACTTACCTGTCTTAACGGAGCGTTAGGCCGCTGAGAAAGTGGGTGGGGAAGAGCCCTCTTCTTCTTGCGCCCCAGTACCTAGCCCTAGTAATAGTGAACTACCAGTCGGGCTACAAAGAGAAGTCTGCTGTGAACTTCTTCTAAAATACTCTTTTTCCAGGTGACGCGATAAAATGTTTCGAATGCAACAGCGCTAACAACTCGGCCTGCTTGGAGATGCACGTGCCCAAGATGAACGCCATCATACCTGTGGTAGACTGCTCACACACATTGCCCAGTGACAAGAGCAAAAATGTTTTTTGTAGGAAAATCACTCAGACTAGTAAGTAATAATATCTTTATTCAGTCAACTTTACAAATTTTGTTCCTACTTGGGCAAAGGTCGGGTCTTTCAAACTGGGGAGTATGCAGGTATTGGCATAAAACAAGGATATGTAACTGTCCCACTCCTAGAGTTTGATTTGATGTTCTTCAGGAAAGACCCTTTGTAATGATACACCTGTATATTTATCTGTTTCATGTTTCAAAGAGTGTAAAGTTACTAGTTTATATAACGAACTTAGCAATTAAGAATAATTCAATGTCAAAAAGAAAGTAAAACCCACCGAATGTTTTTTTCCATTCGTTTTTATGTAAAATATATTCAAACATTACCTATTGGAAAACACTTGGTCTGTGTTTATTAAAACTCTTCCAGTGCTAATAAAACACAGGGATTATTTTTATACCCACAACTGCTGTAATGAACACGAGTTTGTAGTGTTTGCCCCAGTTTAGGAAGGTGTGTTTACTATTAAGGAATCCGGCTTACTTAAATTCAAGACGTATTCAGAACTTGAGGCAGAGAAGTAGCGCCCAAGTTTCTTTTAAATGAAATATTGTTTTGTTTTCCTGTATATTGTAAGTTTAGATTATGTGTTGTAGATATACCTGGACAAGCGTATGCCAAAGATGTTTTTCAAAATCCTTTTTGTTTAGTCTAATGAGACTAGATTTGGCTACACGCAACGCTTCTAAAATGCCACAAAACTTTGTGTAACATTTTCTATAATACTGTTATAACATATTGTGGCGACTCCATCATGCAAAGAAACAGAAACATACTACAGCGCCATCTAACGAAGACACACCGAACTACGGAGCAACTAAGAATTGCTAATTCTGTATCGCGATATGAAGAATTCTCTCGCATTTATACAACTGCCCAACATCAACTGTTGGGCCGCGGCCCGCCAGGCATGCCCACCTCGCCTGGTCGGAGGATCCTCCCTTTGTGCTGGAGGGACAAGACACTAGTTCCTCCACAATATTACACTTTCAAACATGTTTTATGTGTCATCGGCTTCTTTTATAGAAACGAATATTTGCACTAATAGTGGGCATCGTTCCTGCGGGCCCTGGGTTACATATGCAACTCAAGAAGAAGCTGGCACCTTTTTAGCCCCTTAGTGGCACCGATAACACAACTCACACAGCTACAACAGAAATAAATTTAGTGGCCAAGTACCACCACTATGAAAATTTGTTCTGACGTGATAATGAACCCACAAAACATACATTTATTAATCATCGTAATTCAAGCCAAACTAGGTCGGGGTCGGTTTTACTTGCAACCGAAATTACTAGTATTCCCGCTACCCCTCCCGCTAAACTAAAATGTTTGTGTTAGGAGTGGGTTCACGTCGGTAGTGGTCACCCATCCATATACTGACCTCTCTAGGATTGCTTAACTTTGCAGTGTGTTAACCTACTCGGTTACCACTAAGCCACGAGCCCCTCTTTAGAGTAAAATACTCTATTCTAATTGCGTCATATTTTATTCGTCAACCCACGACCTCTTGATCGCAACGCCTTAACCACTAGGCTACCGCCAATTTTTCAGTCTACTATGATAGGCTGAACTACGATTATTTACTTAGCCCTCCACAACCCAAATACTAGGCGATATCGAAGCTCTGCTGATAAACTGTGGTGGGACTTTTTAGGGTTGCAACAACCATTAACGAGTGCCACATTTATTCGCATGGTAACCTGGTAAATGGGACTGACGGTTTCACATGCTCTCCGAAGCTTATATTTGATAACTAGCTGACCCGCGCAACTTCGTCTGCGTCTCTCAATAGTAATAATTTTTCTCCGTTTTTGAAACATTCTTCATTGGTGCTCCGCTCCTATTGGTCTTAGCGTGACGATATATAGCCTATAGCCTTCCTCGATAAATGGGCTATCTAACACTGAAAGAATTTTTCAAATCGGACCAGTAGTTCCTGAGATTAGCGCTTTCAAACAAACAAACTCTTCAGCTTTATAATATTAGTATAAATGTAGATAAGGTTACATACCTATATGTGTATACATTTTATTATCATGACATGAAAATTGTCACCACATAGGAAGATATTCCGTTGTTCCTATTCAAATGTTCACAAGCCCATTGTAATGGTATACCTGTATAATTGGCTAATTCCTGCGCCACAATACGACTCCCATTATATGATTAAATAATGACGTTGTGTTTATTAGTGCGTGGTTGCGTCCTTATTCTGTTTAAAAACTAATATTTATTATTAATTTCATCTCGAGATGGATCCGAATGAAATATGACGCAATTAGAATAGAGTAGGTCCGTGTGGTGACGGATTAAGAATACAGAGTGTCACCACCCCTATTCATCCTGTGGGTGTCGTAAGAGCCGACTAAGGGGAAAAAAAAAGCAGGACAACAGCACTGCAGAGAGAAGGAAAACTTGACACAAACCCTTTACCAACCCGTCTGGCCAGCGTGGTATAGTAGGCCAAAACCTTCTTTCTCAGGAGAGGCTTATGTCCAGCAGTGGACTATTAAAGGCTGTTGATGATGATGATGAGAATAGAGTATTTTACTCTACCGAGTAGGTTAACACACTGCAAAGTTAAGCGATACTAGCCAGGTCAGTCTATGGATAGGTAACCACTTTTAATGAGACCCTCCGTGCCTCGGAGAACACGTTAAGCTGTCGGTATCGATTGCCATATGAACATCTGTGGCAACATCTTTGACGACTAGATGGCGTAGTTGTTTGTGTAACGGACTGCTATTCCAAAGGTCGCGGGTTCGACTCCCGCTCAATTCAAACATTTGTGTGCATGAACATTTGATGTTTGATTTGTTCTGGGTTTTTCTATGTATAATATGTATGTACTTACAAAAAAGAAAGTATATATGTATTTATATCAGTTGTCTAGTACCCATAGTACAAGCTCTGCTTAGTTTGGGACTAGATGGCGTTGTATATTATATTACAATCGTTACGGGTAGTTGGAGATTTAAAAAGTCCGACAACGATCTTTCTGTAAAACTTCGATATCCTTTACTTATAGCGGTTTTACTTATAAGGTAACCTCTTTTGCAATCCTTGACGGTGTCTCCAGTTCTAAATAAATGTTTTTTTTTATGTTACAGTCTTACACTACGACAAAACTCCGGAAGTTCGCATCACACGGACGTGTGGTTGGGTAAAACACAAACGGGATTGCTACAAGGCAGACAACAGTGACCATTTGGAGACCGTATGTCAATGCTTTGGTGACTTGTGCAATGCAGCAACATCGTTTGAAAACCTCAAACTGACAGCTCTAGCGGCTATTGCCGCTCTTGTCACAGCATTTAAAACATGGAGAGGGAATGTTTAAAAATCGAATAACGAATTCAAAATTCGAAACAAAAATGACTGATTTTAAAAACAAGTGTCTATTAGTGTTTTGTCTCTGGTAGTTAAGTTGTTGTTAAACATTTGTATTAATCGAATGTAATAATTATAAGATTATCCTATTGACTGAATGCAAAGGTTATCATTGCCGGTGTTACTTCAGATACTTACATTAAGTATATATACAATTATAACCGAAAATTTACTCTATAAACATATTTTTACCTCTACTCAAAGAATATTTATAAGCTAGCTCTCTCAAGAAACATTAACTTGCACAAGGATATAAAACACTCCTGAACTGGAAATGTGCATATTTAACTTCCTGCTACATTTTCTTAAAGTTTTTAATTAAAAAAAAACAACGGACAATGTGGAGTAAGACCCGCACTAGGGTTGCACTCTAATTTCACACACTCCTACTCTAGCCATCCCTCCTCCCTCACCCGTTAAATTAATATTAGTCTGATAAATTACAACCCTACATTCGCATACCTGTTACTGGCATAATGTTTATTGAAGCTATATTTTGTGTACCTCCCTTTTGTACCACATTTTACGCAAATAAAATTATATATTTATAAGAATAGCTTCTTTCAACAAGCAACATCCGACGGCCTCCTCCAACCACCATTTTTTTCCTTCACCAATCTATCTTGTGTAAAACCTTTCTGATGGACTCGTACTTAATACCAAATAAATGTTTCATTTTATTTCATTTATTAATAAACAATTTTCAATTTTGTTTGAATGTTAATATAAATCGGCAGTACATATAATAATGTAAATTTGTCACGTTACAATTAATTAAATAATTGAACAATAAATCAAACGAAACAAACAAGCAAACTAATAAAAGAAATGTCAAATACAAATATTGCCACAATTAAAAAAAATATGATAATAATACCTGTGACATATTTATGTAATTTAAAAGACAATGTGTTTGTTTTATTTTACAAGAAACCAAATTAGGTACAGGAATTACTATATAATACTGATGTTCCTCACATTTGTATTTATATTGTAATGGGGACTCAGATTTTGAAGGAAATTGAAGATTAATATTACCTAAACATCTCGACCAATCTTCGACCAGATCTGGGATTCAGGGCACTGTTTAGTGGCCTGGGGGTGACAGGTAAGGCCATCTGTCACCCTAGCAGAAGCAGGCCGGAGAGGCGGCGAGACGCGCTGCCGAGCGCGCACGCCCTTTTGGGAGCACAAAGGGAACATGGATCCACACACGCTGTGGATGGCCCGAGGTACGTCCGGGTACCAGGGATTTCCTTTTTAGGGTACACCTGGTTACCCGGCTACTGGTACCCGAGACGGCGTGCGGTTTTTGGTCGGTTCGAGTCCGACATAATCACCCGGGTGGGTGATATCCGAGGGGATTTCCGCACAGGAATAAAAATAAAAAAAAACAAAGGGCACTGTTTAGTTCTAGTTTGAGAAACATTGATCTAACAGGCATAAATTCACTGATAGTCCGATTAATCGCAAGAACGCAAGGTTTTCTTTAATTAAATATTTTGTTCGTTACTTATTCAATTGACCTCTTAATCGGTTGTGTCGATCGAGTTCCGATAGCTAGAATACGTCCGTACGTCACAACTAAATGTCACAATTTTATTGCAAACACTCCAATATCGACTGCCCTGGATAGAACGCGCATCACTTTATTTTATTTTTTTCGATTTATTTTTAAAATGTTTAAAGAGTACGTTCAAGTTTTGTTCCTGTTTGTGTTTGTTATTTCTTTTAAAAATGGTATGTAGTTTTTTTTTTTTAATTAGCTGTTAGGCAGTGGTAACAAATTAGCTTCCTCACGCTGGTGGCTGGAATTCTGGTCACGCATCTGTTACTTTTCAGTGATAATGTGCATACTGGTTTTAATGGTGAAGAAATACAGTCTGCTTTATTTATAATTCTATAACTATATAGAATTCGACTCAACGGGTCATACACACGGTCATACACACATACTAATGTATGTTTGAAGAGTCGTGAAGTCTGAGAAGCTTTGTTGAATTACAGTAACGTTGGTACTGTGTAGGACACATGTATGTCTAAACTGTTCAACAGTAAATAAGAAAATCAATAGGCAAAGAGGGATAAAGATGGATATAAAGATTATTAAAAAGTTACTATAAGCATATAAAAAGCCAATTAATTTCCCTGTCCTAAAATCACCTTAAGTGGTCCTTCTAACCATTGTACTCGAAATCCCATTTTTTTATATTCCTTGTATAAGACAACGCCCGCATTAGGAATATATTCCTGTGTCGCGGGGGACTTTACAAACATACATGAAACGGACACAAAGAACACCCAGATTCAGAACAACAATTTGTGGATCACACAAAGTGTCGTCCCATGTGGGGTTTGAACCCACAACACTCGGCGTAGTAGGAAGCGGCGTGGCGACCACTCAAACCACTACACCATCCGTGCAGTCAATTTCTTTAGATAAAACTCAGTAATACCCTAGCTACCCTAATTCTTCTTCCTTACCCCAATTTTACCTTCTTTCTTTCTCCCTTCATTTACATTCTCAAGGAAGATTAGGTAAGGTAGGGCCTCAGACATTCGACTGGCCATAAGAGAAACCAGCCAAAATCCATTGCAATAAACAGATTGGGACCACCCTAAACAATTTGGGAATAGAGATGATGATGTGCCGATGTTAATGCGTTATCTTTGACACGTATCGCAGGCTTCCAAAGGATTCATAATATTATTGTGTGTATACCATTTATTTTAGCTGATTCTATCCAATGCTACGAGTGCTCGAGCAAGAATAATTCGATGTGCTTAGACCCCTCTATCTACGACCAGGAGACGCTGCGCAACTTTCTGCCGTTCACAACGTGTGGCCGCGGAGTTTATACCAACAACAATCAAGACTTCTTCTGCAGGAAGATCATTCAGACCAGTAAGTATAGCTGTACAGCGCATGCCCAATTGTGGCATTTTATACGGTACATACAGCTCGTACGTAAAGTTCTAGAAATCGGATAATCACAGATTTCCACTAAATGAAAACTGTTAACTTTAGCGTTAAAGTCGAAAGCTTACCGAACGCTCGCATCATCATCAACAGCCTTTAATAGTCCACTGCTGGACATAGGCCTCCCCTTAGAAAGGAGGTTTTGGCCTACTATACCACGCGGGCCAGACGGGTTGGTATAGGGTTTGTTTCAAGTTTTCCTTCTCTCTGCAATGTTGCTGTCCTGCGTAGTTTTCTCCCTTAGTCGCCTCCTACGACACCCACGGGATGAATAGGGGTGGGGACACTCTGTATTCTTAATCCGTCACCACACGGACGCTCGCATAATAGCTCGTCAAAACAAATATTTCACGTCGACAAATCCTCAAGAGTTGTGTCGTCTATCAAAATAATAAAAACATATATCAGTTTCACGAAACTTAGGTATTACTATCGGATACGGAGTCCTGTGATTATAGAACTTGTACAGCATTTTAAATCCATACTTTACTGTGTTCACTCCCACTAATAATAATAATATTGTACCACATTCACACAACGCCATCTAGTCCCAAACTAAGCAGAGCTTGTACTATGGGTACTAGACAACTAATATACTTATTTACTTTTTTTTGTAAATACATACATAGAAACACACAGACTAAATCGAACATTAAATGTTCATGCACACAAATGTTTGAATTGAGCGGGAACTGAACCCGCGACCTTTGGATTAGCAGTCCGTTACACACATCACTCCCATCCGGTCGCCACACGTCCCACTGTGAATACAATTCACGAAAAAAAAGACTTTACCTCTACGATATACCACCAGCCGTTGTGTAGAATAAACTTATCCAAAGTACACAAAGTAGTACAACTTCATCCCGCAAAGCAGCACGATAAAAATATCTACATTAAGTCCTATAATTTGTCCATAATTCTTACAAATCATTTCACATTATAGTATGAGTTAGGCCGCATTCGTATAATTTTTTATACCACCAATGTCCACCATATTACATCCACTTTCCGTGGGGTCATATAGACCGAGTTTTTAAGTCCGGACATAACCAGGATTTAATTATTACACTGATAAATATATTTTCTTCAGTGTTACTCAATCCTATAATATCGTTTAAGACCGAGACATAGTGTCGACCTTTTTTAATAAAACATTTACCCCATCAACTAAAAAAAAAAGGTAAAGATGCACCTACAGATAAAATTTAAAATTTAAAAATAGAATATATGAATGTAACCGTTTTCAGTTCTTCACAAACATTATGAGCCCGAGATCCGAGTGACGCGCACGTGTGGCTGGGTACGACATCACCGGGATTGTTACAAGGCGGATAATGAAGACCATCTCGAGACAGTCTGTCAATGTTTTTCCGACCACTGTAATGCTGGAGCTAAAATAAGTGGAGCTATGACTCTGGTAGCGTTGGTCACTTTAAAGGCGTACTTTTAATTAAATACAGTATTATATTCATTACTTGTTTTTATTCAGTAATAACGATTGAAAAACAAATATTCCATGACTTTTTTTCAGTTTAAAAGAAACCCATGAACCCATTTCTGTTTATAAACATTAGTTTTTTAAAAGAACTAAGAGAGGAGTAACATATAAGTTTTAAACTAAATTATTTACAAACAAAAGGAATTCTGATTTGCTTGCGCAACATTATAACACTATCTACTACCAAAGTGAGGTTCTGGCCATCAATTCTGGCTAAGCTGTAGTAGCTTTAAGGTTGAGACGCTCCAACATAGCAAAAGGGTCTGGCTTAGATTAATTTAAAAAACATACGATTCTTTGAAAGCTTACCTGACCTTACGTATGTTCTCCACTTTGTATACTCCTCATTTGTACAAAAACTGAACTTAACGTAGGAAACCGCTGATAAATTATTTTATTGTAATAATTGTATTGTTTAACAATTAGTATAACCGACATTGAAATATTAACACAGAAAGAAACGGTTGCTCATACATCATCACATAACATCAACAGCCTTTAATGGTCCACTGCTGGACATAGGCCTCTCCTTAGAAAGGCGGTTTTGGCCTACTATACCACGCTGGCCAGACGGGTTGGTATAGGGTTTGTGACAAGTTTTCCTCCTTTTTGCAGTGGTGGTGTCCTGCGTTGTTTTGCGCCCTTAGTCGGCTCTTACGACACCCACGGGATTAATTGGGGTAGTGACATTCCGTATTCTTAATCCGTCACTACACAGACAAACTTGCTGATACAATGACATCATAATATTTACCGTGAAATCGGTATGGTCCAGTTAACACACTAATTGTAAGAGTGACCTCACGTGACATTGGCCTAGCCTGTTCTACTGTTTATACCAGTAGGCATCGGTTCCAACGAAGGTCACAGAGAAATGGCAATAGTGCCTTCGAGTAATAATATATAACAATAATAATTAACAAACAAAAAAAAAATTAAAAAAAAAACCAGAGTGGTGTCCTAGGGTCGACAAAAGAAATAAAGGGAGACAGTGTAAACGTTGGGAAGACGACTTCAGACAAATGGCGGGCGCTAAGTGGACCCCAATAGCTAGGGATCGAACTGCATGGAAGTCCTTGGAGGAGGCCTTTGTCTAGAGACAAGCTGCTACACATAAAGCGATTACCTATATACTATAATGACCACAACTGTGTAACAAGTATAATATTAATGTAAATAGTATAACATTTAAGAAAATATTGTAGAGAGTAACAGTAATAAAGGCTTATTTTATTTTATTTATTTTTATACAATAATTAACATTGGTGTTCCCAGAGCTTACAGACTACAGTCCTGTTTTATTGCTCTTGATACACGCTGGTGTGCCAAAAGCTCACCGATTCCGCCCAATCTATACTGTGGATTATAAGTGCGCTGTAGAGGAACTCAGGAAAGTAGATTGGTACGATCTACGGTTTTGACGATGTTGATGCTGTTACAGACTCATTAACAAATACACTTCAAAATACCATTGTTAACTGCAACAAGGTCATCTAACCACAAACGCAAAGCGCCTCTCAAACCACGGGAGTTGTCAAAATCAATAAAAACAAGAGACAGCCTACATCTGAAAATGAAAAGGAATCCAGAATGTATGTTATGTAATTAATGTATGTAATTATCACTTTTATTTGTATGTTTATTGTATTCACATATTGTTTATTGTAATTGAACTGTGCACACGTCCGTGAGGTACCTTTGGGCTTCAGCTGAAAATCAGCGCTGTTTTCACTTTTAGGGACTATAGCATAGGCTGAGTTGTGGCCCTTTAGTCACACACAGTGATCATTTTATTCTGTTGTACTTGTTTATTTTTGTTATTGTTTGTGCTATTCTTCAGTTGAGCAAATTGTTTCTTTTCTTTTTCTCTTCTATGTTATATCTGTAATTCCTTTTTTGGCTGTGTTTGTGTTGTGACTAATAAACGTATTTTCTTTCTTTCTTTCTTTCTTTCTAAAATGAAGATGGCTTAACTACCTAAGATAAATCTGGCGGTAGTCCCATAGAATTTCTCTCGACTAGTGATGGTATTGTCCAATTAGCACACTAATTGTAAGAGTGACCTCGCGTGACATTGGCCTAGCCTGTTCTACTGTTTATACCAGTAGGCATCGGTTCCAACGAATGTCACAGAGAAATGGCAAAAGATCAGTTTGTTCCCTTAGTCAGCTTTTACGAAACCCAAGGATTGAAAAGGGCTGGTGACATTCCGGATTCTTAATCCCTCACCACACGGACCGTTTAGTTTGTGTACGCTTCAAAAACTTCAATTCACAAACTTCAACATCAATGCAAACACAATGTGCCACGGAAAAGCGTCGCAGGGTACGGGTAAAATCATTTATTTCTTTAATGTAAATTCAAGTCATTACTAAAAACGAAGGCCGGCTAGTTGAGGGGAAACTGTACTTTAAAATTTAATTGTACCTTTTTAAATATTCTAGCTTGCTTACTTAGGTAAGTAAATTAGGTAAGTAATAAATAGGTCATAACTCATAACATCACGTCATCCATCCACGTCATGTCGTACCGGCATTATAACAGTTGATAAGATCACTCCAAGAGGACCGAGAGGAAACTACAATTTTTATAAAATTAGTATTCTTATCCTTAGATTATTTAAAGGTATAAATATAAATAACCTGAGTTCTTGTCCTATGCTTTCAAAAATGTTACTCAATAGACGTCTGCCCTTTGTGAATTACCGAGCTTCTACCAATATAACAAGTAATAACTCGAATAAATAGAAATCTATTATATCCAAACATTTTGAGAGCTAAAGAAGACATAATAAAAATATTTTATTGAACATATTAAGTATACCAAAACGTGCGTGGGCTCAAGACACAGTTTAGTAAGCGTATTAGTTTTGGACTACAATCTTGTAGTTGTTGCTAAGAGTTACCTAGACGTTCAGTTGAAGACGCAGAACTGGTGGTTGGAGACTGGACTGCCCTTCGACGAGACAGAGGAGGAGTAGCGTAATGCTTTCGACACATGCACTAATAGCGGCTCATCGACTTCCTGAACTTGATACTGACAATACCGAGGACCTTTGTGCCAGTTTTATAGTGCACTTAATGTTACCTGTTCTAGATGAACTGAATAAATGAAATTAATATATTTACAACACAAAGCTTACAGTACGTATATAATTAACCCTTAGGAAGGGAAATTCTAAGGAACTTAAAATAATACGTAAAAAGTTTGCTGATGGATTTTCGTAGGTAACGAGGGCAGAGTTAGTGAATTAATATAAGTACAAAAAATGCTTAACTTCTTTTAAGTTATACATTTATTTTTGTTACTTTGTATTCTTCTTAAAAAAATAAATAACAAAACAAACGCAATTCTTTATAAAAAAATAAATTAAAACTTTCAAAATCAAGATAATATTAATATTAGCGCTATCTATATTGCGAAATACATATCAAATTACTGATTGTTGTAGAGTCGTCAGTAAGCGGTGTATGACTTGTTTTAGAATGTACTGTATAGATGGCGTTGTACTACATTAAGCAGTCTTATTTTTTAAATTCATTACCGTTACATTTTGTAAAAATGCTTATAAACTAAAAATAAAGAAAGTCATAACTTGTGTGAAGTTGTATGAGTATAAACTAATATTATTTGAAAATTAAAAAGTTACGAATATCTCAAAATTATTAGTTTTCATTTTCGGCCTGCAATGATTTATTATTGCTGTACGATTTCTCAAATAATGTTAGGTTTGATTAATTATTATTGACATTTCTATCAAAAACATAGGCTACATGCCAAGTTTTTTGGATAATAATAAATAATTTAAACTTCTTCATGCAAGTCAGGTTGGCCGAGTGGTCTAAGGCGCCAGATTTAAGCTCTGGTTCCCGAGAGGGAGCGTGGGTTCGAACCCCACACCTGACAAATTGCCAAGTGGCTTTTTTGTTGGCACACAATTTAAACAATACAGTAAGGTGTATATTATAAGGTTATGTTCATATTATTTAATGTATTTTTATTGTTATTACATTTTATTTATGGTATTAGAATTGAATACTTTATTTTGTATCTCTAGATGTACTGAAATACTTAAAATATAAAACACTTGTGTACTTAGATAAAAAGATTGAGGTTTTGTTACTTTTAACTTTAACCTACATTAATGACCTAAGACAAATTAAGTACTACACAGTGTAATAACGTTTAATACGTTACGTACGTTAATTAAAGTTTGTAAGTTTATTAATAATTTAAGTTTTTTTTCATTCTTTTATAGAGTGCCTTTTACAAAAAAATGGCTTTAACACATGGTTTTCATCCTAAGTAAGACTATTCTGATGAATCCTTCCAGAGGGTGGGGTGATGAATATTTCACGGAAACTAGTTCTTGAGAAACCCTTATGTGTCCGGATACCGTATCCGTAGTGGGTCCTCATTTCGAGAAGTGAGTTCTTCTTCTTCTTCTTTGGCCTTAATCGACCAAATATTTGGTGTAGGCCTCCTTTAATTCTCTCCACTTTCCTCTGTCTTGGGCAATTAGGATCCAGTTGCTGCCCGCCACTTTTTTGATGTCATCCTTCCATCTCATCTGTGGTCGCCCTCGAGGTCTTTTCTGGTCACATGGTCTCCATTCTAACACTCTTTTACACCAAGAGTTTTGCTTTCTGGCTACATGACCAGCCCACTCCCACTTCAACTTTGCTACCCTTTCTACAACGTCTGATACTTTGCTCTGTTTACGAAGCCACGTATTGGTCTTTCTGTCCCTCAATGTCACACCCACCATTTATCTCGAGAAGTGAGTATTTAAATATAATTCTGGTTAAAGCCCAAAAAAAATCTAGACACCTGCTTTTCAGCACAGCTGACATTTGAACGTATTGGTTAAATACCGCCATTTTAATTATTTTTCGAAATAGGAAATTACAATGACATTTAAAGTATCCCTCTTGTGTATAACATCATTGAAT